CGCTTCTATCTCTTCTGTTTCGGTGTTTATGGGACTCTGTAAACACTAGATGCTTGGGGGCTAGAGAGAGCAAAGATGAAATGAGAGAAGATATTGGCAAATCACTTATCTGATAAAGGGTTTAATAATCAAAATAAAGATGTTAGTCTTTCAACTCAGTAGCAAAATATAATAGCCCAGTTAAAAAATGGACAAAAGGATTTGAACAGACATTCTAAAGAAGAAATACAAATGGATGGGACCAGCAGTTAGTGTAATGGCTATGTCACTGGACTCCCATGTAATTGACTACAGTTTGAGTCCTAGACCCAGTTTAAACTCACGCTGGGCGCGTGTGTGTGCATGTCCAAGATCCCAAAAGGAGAATGAAGGAGAAGGGATTGCGGCATGGTCATCCCCCCTGGGGGGTAACTTCTTGCTTTCTGTCTCTCTGCCTCTCTCTGTCTTTCTCGCAAGCGCATGCGTGCTATAGCCAAAAACCTCACGGTGTGGGGTGGGGGAGGGGGAGAAATACAAATGGCTAACAGTGATGAGCAACACCGGTAATCATCAGAGAAATACAAAACAAAGCCACAATGTGGTACCACTTCACACCTGTCATGGCCATCATTTAAAAACAAAACGCAAAAAAACCCAAAACAAACAAAACCCAAAATTGGAACAACAAAAAACTAACAGATATTGGCAAGGTTTTGAAGAAACTAGAATCACTGGACATTGTTGGTATGAATGCAAAATGTTGCTGCCACTTTGGAAAGTATCATAGTGGTTTTACTTAAAAAGTTAAAAATAGAACTATTATATTATCCAGCATTCCCCCTTCTGTGTATTTACTCAAAATAATTGAAGTCAGAATTTCAAATAGATGTTAACACTCTCATAGTTTTTTCATTGTTATTCAGATATCCAAGATGTGGAAACAATCTAAAAGGCCATTGACAAATGAGTGAATAAAGACAATGTGGCATGCATATAATGAAATGTTCTTATTATTTCCTAAAAATATAAAGAAATCCTGTAATAGGTGACAATCTGCATGGACCTCGAGAACACTATGTTAAGTGTAATTAATCAATCAGAGAAGGGAAAATACTGCATGAGTCCACTTGTGTAAGGTGTCTAAAGTAGTTAATATCAGAAGCAGAGAGTAAAATTGTCATAGCCAGGGGCTGGGGCAAGGGAAAAATGGGAGTTGGTATTCAATGGGTATAAAATTTTAGTTTTTTAAGATAAGTAAGTTCTTGGGACCAGAAGTTAGCATAATGGCTATGTTGCTGAACTCCCACATAGTCGACTGTGGTTCGAGTCCCAGACCCGGTGGCTTAAACTCATGCCGGGCACGTGTGTGTGCGTGCCCAAGATCCCGAGAAGAGAATGGAGGAGAAGGGATTGCGGCGTGACCATCCCCTGGGGGGTGATTTCTCGCTTTCTATCTCTCTGTCTCTCTCTGTCTGTCTGGGGAGCACTCACACCCTATAGCAAAAACCTCTCCAAAAACAAAAAAAAAAGATAAGTAAATTCTATAGATCTGCTATACTCTTTTCTTATAGTTAATGATATTGTATTGCACACATAAAATTTGTTAGGTTATTGATCTCATGTAATGTGTGCTTGTCACAATATAAAAAAAGTAATACAGGCCTTGCAATGCAATTTTAGAGAAAAAATATTGCCAGTGAAGTTGGATGTGCTTCTTCTAATCATAATCATATTCTAATGCACTATCGATCCTCTCAAAGGTATTTCTCTGTCTTTAACACACCCAAAACTACTTGGCACAAACCAGTTCCTAAGATATTTGTGATGGCAGATTAATATTTTTGCGAGCTAGTCTGACCTTCCTTTTGACACTTGCACTTTAAATCTAGAAAAAATTCTGGCTTCTCACCTAATTTATTTTGTTCCCAATGAGTAACTCTGATATGAAGTAAAATTCAAAAATATAAGATACGGGGGCCAGCAGGTGACATGTGTTAAGGTATAGGACTCCAACATGACTTGACCAATGTGGTTCAAGTTCCAGACCTGGTAAATCGCTTTCTCACTTTTGCTCACTCTCTCTCCCTATAACAATTTTAAAAAGTTGAAATTAAATAAAGAATTCTTTTTAAAAAGAATTATCTTGGCACGGGCCCCCCCAGGGGGGCCCCAGGGCCCTGCGCGGCGCGGTGGCGGCGCCTGTGCGGGACCCCCGGGCCTGGGCAGCCGGGGCTCTGCTCCGCTGCCTCTCCGGGGCTGACATGTGGCCCCGGGCCTGCATGTGGCCTCCCTAGGCCTGCGCGTGGCCGCCAGGACTGAATGTGACTGCTGGGCCTGCGCGTGGCCCCCGGGCCTGTGCGTGGCCCCCGGGCCGGAGAGTGGCCCCCGTGGCCCCCGGGCCTGAGTGTGGTCGCCCC